TCTTTAAAACTTTTTTTTTGTAAATTTGTCTACTAGAAATCTTGTTCTAATCAAAACCTTTATTAGAAAATTCTTGTTGCATTATTGATCTATCTGATGCATTGATGAAATCATTTTTTGATTTGTTTTGTAGTTTTCTTAGTAAATGGGAAAAACAGATAATTTTTTGTACAATTTTTGTTGATTTCTGAGTTACTTTAGCAACATGGGAAATGTAGAACTAATAAAACTCTGCTCAGAATCGTTTTTGTTACCGATTGACTATCGTTTTATACACAGGCATAAATTAAATTACTCTATACATCATTTCCCTTCCGACTTCCCTCCTATCAGCAGATAGACACCCGTCTATGAGCCGTTCCTTATTATTTTTTACTCATAAGCAATTTGACCAACATACGTCGCGAAAACAATGGTTATTGTTTACAATATATAGATGCGAAAAATAATAACGTTTGTCGCGTCCCGTTTGCCGTTGGATTATAATATACGAGCAGTATGGTAGCATACTATTAAGTACCTACAATAGGTGCGTTAGAACGTGATCAAATTATTACTTTTACCGGATCGCCTTAAACTGCACTATAAATTATTTATTCAAAAGTAACAAACCGCGCAAATAATCTACTTTACCTATACCGCGTCTACGTTTTTATTGCGCGCAGAACCCAACATCGCCGCGGATATATTTTATCGGTGGCCGCAGTTGCCATAAACTTCGCAAATTTATACGTCGTTGTAGTTTTTACGCGATGCAGCTCTCGTACGAAAAAAGAAATTATTAATAATTCGGTAACACATACACCAACTAATAATGTATAATAATATATACACTTACCTTCTGCTTTTTGTTTTTCTTCTAATTCATCTACTGGTGTGCCTGCTGTCTCCAAACTATACCGCTTTCGACTTTCAAATTTTTTTTTGCAATCTTCATCCACCGCGTTAATCGATCTTTTCTAATATATTCTAGAGCAGGAGTGATCAAAAGGGGCAGATAAGGGGATATTTTTTATAAATATAACTGTTAAAACAATATTAAAAATTCAGCCACATCTCCTTCTTATCACAAAATAATTTGATTGACATAATATTTTTAAAATTGCAATAACTATATAATAATCTTTTTTTTAGATTTATTTTAACTCATATTCCTCGGTTATTATTCTGGCTATTTTGTTAGACCGCATCATATGGTAGATTATCTACGTACATTGTTTAACAAGATGTGCGAAAAATAAATGGATTTTTTTTTGAAAATTTTGTTTAACATGCAATATTTTAAAATAACAATAGTAACAAACGGCAAAGTGCTAAAGTCAATTAATATTGTTGGTGTATGAAGGTAGTATAAAACGATAAGTCAAAAACAAACGCCATTACGAGTAGCTTAAATTGGGGTTACTACGTTAAAAGATTTTGCTCTGTCCCATATTTGGATATTATATTATATATCTATATTTTTAACGATATCTATGATCTTTTTTGCTAATGAACTTAATGCAGCCAAATAGTGAAACAGAAATATCAATTATTAGTTATTATATTACGTTTTTAAACCAAATGAATCTGTTTTTTTTATATACATATATACCGAATGATTTATTTAAGAAGGTAAATTCATTATATCGGAAAATATAAACTTTTTCCGGAATTTGTTTTCTAAAAAATTAAAGAAACAAGCTGCTCTACAATTTTATATTCATGTTATTTTTTATAACCCTTATTTTTGAGGGATAAACCACTACCTACTTTTGATTTTCAAATGGCAACTTATATTAAAAATTCCATAGATTTTTTTTTTAAGCAATTTTAAAGATTACTAGCAACTTTTTTTTCCATTTTCCCAATAAAACTACCGACCGTAAGATGTATCAAAACTTATTGTAAACAAAATTATTTTGATTTTCCTTATACCTACGTAGTGTTTTGGATTTCGAGTATAGTAAAAGGAAATGTACCAATTTTTACAACAATATATATTATGTATATATATATATTTTTTTTTGTTTCAATGTTTTTCGAATATAAAAAGATTGCAACTCCTTTAAACAATCATCGTTTCGTATGTATACACATTTATAGTAGACAACTTCATCAATTGTGTAGGTACTTAAACAAATATAAATAAAATAGGTTTTAAAACATTTGGGTAGTTTTCCTGAGCATAATAATAAGAAAAAAATAGTTAAAAATGTTCACGAAAAGAAGAATTTAAAGACTAACGGTTGATCGATTTATATTATATAAGCTGAAAAAATTACTCAGAAAACAAAAAATTTAATTGAATCTTTAACATTTGTCAATTTACACAGGAGAAAATACCTCTATTAAAAATATGAATTAATAAAACCTACTATTAAAAGCAAAAATGATTAAACTTTTATCCGAGCGTTTGTTTTTAAGTGTACGATTTATATGATCGTATATGATCGAATTATTTTTGCAGCCAAAAGAATATTTAGTCAAGCGAATAGAACGATTTTAGATCTACTGAGAGCAGGATACAATTCTAAAATGATACAAGAAAAGTTTCCGGTTAGTAGTTCTTTGACTCCATAAATCACAGTTAATTTAATTTAACGTGGTTATACGTTTGTGATTCATGAGACCCATTGAGACGGAAAACGAAAGAATTGATAAACAATTAAATGAGACAAGGGAGCATTTCCCAACGCTCTGCCAATATAATAATGGTTATAAATCGTATATATAAAAAAAAAAAACACCTCTTGAAACATTGATATCTGAATCGAAAAAGTTAAAATTATTAATTTATTCGTTTTAAAATGCAAAAATAATTGATACTCAAACGATTTGTTTTCGTCGTTCACAATAAAGATGATGATAATAATAATAATAATAATAATATCATTATTATTATTCATAAATCGGTGAAATAAAACGCCACTAAAGGATACACTTTCCATTCGTCTTTTGTAATAAAAAATTACCTTGTATTGGTTATGGCATAATAATATTTGTCTTGGTATTATAAAGCGAAATATATTTCACTCGTACATCATAAACTGAGTTATTCGCGAATATTAATCAAAGCACATAAATTATAGATTACGAATATAAAATGTGTATTAAAACGAGTACAATCATAATAATATCATCAGAGTGTATTCCTTTTAAAATCGTAATTTATCAATATTAACATCTTTCTTTACATCTTTCGTTTATAATTTGGTTATTTTAAATATTTCAAAAAATAACTGAATACACATATATAATACTGAAATACTTACCTAGTACCTGAAACGGTTTCAAATTTACGACAAACAATATACCTACATAGGTTGAGTATACCTATGTTTATATTTTCAGAGAAAAAAAATGATAAGATACGTAACGTTATTTAATGTATGTTCGTACGCAACGATAAATCATTACTAACGAAAAATGATTCTGAGCGTAGTTTTAAGATGCTGTGATTTGTACGGTTTTAGTCAAAATTTTAACTTAAAACCGATTACAAAAAAAATCTACTACACATTACGATTTACATTTTTTACTCAGTTTATAGTGTTGCTTTGTCAACAATATTTATGTCGTATTATAGTAAAATAATTACGTATAAATTAAACATTTTCTTTAATTCTCCTGGTTTTCCCATGTTTTTTCTCGGTTTTATCAATTATTGAGAAAACTCCAGGGAAAATCAAAAAATGTTCCCTCTAAAGTATCATTCCAATTAAATTTAATTTTAAAAAAGTGCTATACTTGTAAATCGGAGGAAAATTTTTAATAAAAAAATTGTTTACAGATGAAAATTTAAAAAAAATGTGTATATAAAAATTAAAAATAAATAAAATAATGAATTCGTTGCCTGGAGTATTATGATTAGTGTATTATACGACCGGTTTCAAATTAAAAATTTATCATCAGGTGACGCATTCATTCACTTATTTAATTTTATTTTTATGTACAAATTTTTTATTTATATATTTAGTAATGAGTATTAACCATTTTAATAATTTTTTTTTTACTTTGTTATTTTATTAAAAAATAATAATATTAATAAATAATAACATCATAGTAAAACCACTCGTTCCACTCAGAATCTAGTATGGGTGAAAGGTAACCACTGGAAAGAAAATATATAATAAATATTTTTTTTTCTATAAAATCATTTCATACCCTTTTTAGATCATATAATCGTAGTGAGGGATCTATACAAAAATATGTATAAAATAGATTTAAAAAAAAATCGAATTTCGAAATCTAAAATTAGAATTTTTGGATAATCCGGTTATACATAAAATCACCAGTGTATCGTTCATTTTATTTTGTTTAACTATTATTTAATGTTTAGGTAATCCTTTATTACAATTCTGTAGGTACTTCCACCGTCATAAAAATAAAATAAATATATAAAAAATAATTTTACATTCCATATTATTTACCCAACTAGAAATCTTTTTAATCTTTTTAAATTTTAACCAAATTCCATTTTTCGGCAACACCATTAGAGCTTTTTTACCCAATTTTAAAGAAATGTCAGTCTTTCCGCACGGCTCCAATTCAAATTTAGATAAAATTTCAACCAAGATCAATTGGAAAAAATACTTACGCAGTGTTTCTGTAAATCATAATGATAAAATTAGGTAGGTATAGCGAATAGATAATACTTTCAGTAAATTTTAATGACAAAGTAAAGACTTACATATTTATTATATTTATATGTATATAAAAACGAATGTATGTGTTTTTGTCCTTTATGCATTACTATACACACACTATTCATCCCGATCGCCATGAAACTTCGGGAAGTTGTTGAGTACACTCCCGCAAAACAGGATGTGTTCTAAAGTTTTTATCAGCAACGTAATTTTAAAGAACTCCTAAATATTACAATATTTGTATGCAATAGGTATCTATACAATAATAATGTACACGTATATATAATATACAATACATACATACATTATATATACATAGGCACCTTTTTAGAGTCATTTTTATAAGACATATGTTAAGTCCACATTATAGACCTGGCCTATATCTATGCATAATAATTATAAATAATAAATAACAGAATACATAAACTTTAAAGGCACAGTAAAATATATAATGTGTTCCAGGGGAAAGTGACCTGCGTATCGTCTAAACACCTGTGCCAAAATATCGTACATCGTTTGCGCATCAACGACCGATTATCTTTTGCGTCTTGTCTATTTACCTGCACCAAATTAACGTACATCATATGTGCATCAACATACTGAACAATTGAAGGGTGTAAAATAACATAAATAAGTTTTTGTTAAATTGGCATTTAAAAAAATTCAAATTTCGACGAAATTCATGAAAATTTCTAAAAATTGCAAATCATTCTGTAGTTAAACATTTAAGATTTAATTAATAAATTATAAATTTGATAATAACAGTGAAAATGAATTTAAAAAAAATTGTGTTGATTTCAATTAGGCACATTACATTTATAAACTATAATATAAATATACAAATAATATAGTCCGAGTAAAAATGTATTGATCAAAAATTAATAAATAAATACATTAATAAATTAAGCACAAAAAATACAATTTTAAAGCAATACTTGGTATATTGTAATATCCCATTAATTTTACAAAATGAAACCTATTTATTTCACCGGTGGTAAACTCAAGCTAATATGTTTGAATATATTTTAAAACAGAAATACGTATACAATATTTGAAAATTGAATAGAAATTTAAGAGAGATGTGTATATTAAGAAAAAAAACTTAAGCGTTTGGGTGTATACACCTTTTTTTCAGTTCTACTTAATGAAATAATATTGATAATATTGAAATAATATGTATGTACCTTTTAACCGGTCGATGCGCAAACGATGTACGATCCAAAAATCGAACGTAAACGCACGTACACAAGAGCGCACACTGTGCGGCGGACAGCATGCGTGCGTTCTTTCGTAAGGACGAAGTGTGCGGCTTATTCGGCTAATTCGTCAACGTTCGGTAAATAAGTCACACAAGCACACATGGCGAAACGATCGTTGTCGGTATTTTGGTCATGCTCAAGGGAACACCGTTTTTATAACACGTGACTTATGAGACTTAAATTTATGATATCCCACTTTATGACACATGACTTTCTAATACTTGCCATATTACCTACATTTACAGCATATAAATGTGGAATATTTGTATTATTTCTATTGGCAAATAGCAACACTCTACTGCGCCTAACACGTAACATATCGACGATACAAAAGTGTTCTCAACATCGAAACCGAAGCTCAACAGTGTCTTACAATGTACCCTGCCGCAAATCCCAAAGGTTTCTGACATTTTTTGATAACCCAACTATCACCCACAAATATAGGTTTTCAGGTACTTTTGGCACGAACATTAAAAATTTGTTGTATTCATAGGTTACCTTGGTAGAAATGGATGAAAAAACAGATATTGTTATTTAAATGAGTTGTCATGGGCAAATTCTTAATATGTATATGGTATTTATTTGTATGAAGAAAAACAAATTAAAAATTGGCACGTGCAACGCCATGCGAAATGGCTCGATATGTTTAAAAAATATGAAATATAGATCTGCCAAAATCGCATTGTCAATTATTCCGTTTTTTTTTTTATAATTGTCGATTTAATTTCATCGCTACATTTATTTTGGATGTCCTTCTTCAATGCTATTTCATACAAACAAAAAGTGAAAAAGCTGTATACATCTGTTTCAGATCCGGCAAGGAACATAACAAAAGCATTAGCTGCAACATGCGTTTCCGTATGTGTTTCTCCTCTAAAATATACAAGAAAATACGCGTGAACCGGTTTTTATATTTTAAATGACGTTTTATAAAATAAACTTTTAAAAGCCTTTAGTACCCGTTTGGAGGTACATTCTCGTTGAGGACTTATAACACAATGCAATAGACGACAGGTTGATTTGTGTTGTCTGATTTTTGTTACACAAATTCTGTATTATACATTTCAAGAAAAAAAAAAAACACGGTTAGCTAATATTTACAATAGAATGCCGTTTGCTCGCATGAAGCGCACAGTGACACCCGAGTACAGGCACGCACGATGCAATGGCGTGGACCACGCGTATTTGAGTGTGGGTAACGACTTAGGACGAGACGTCCCGAGGAGAGTGTGCTTATTACGCGGTGGTGTACCGTAGCCCGCGTACACCGGCGGCCAAACGTGTAGCTGGGAACGGGTATCCGTCTGGTCGGCGAGGCACGAGACCGAAAGCAACGGTGAACCAATCTCGACGGTGAACACATCGGGTGCTGAGATAACGAGTGGTGCCGGAGTCGACTTCGTTAGATTCCCCGAAGTGTAGGTACGCGTGATTTCAGTTCAGAGAAACGCAAACTTACCAGGCGATGACACGGGTGGTGTCGAGAGAACGGGCGCTCTGCTGGATTCAGCGTCGTGGAGATGTCGAGTGTGTACAACGTCGACCAATGACTATCACTTACCGTCAATTACCAGTAATAAAATCATAACGATATATACGTACCTGAAACACTGAGAGACGATCAGTGCCATGGGGCTGGTGAGGGCGCAGCAGACGCAATTGAAAATCCGGCCTGTATATGTGTACGAATCCCCGTGGTCTACCGGAGGAGCGTATTTGTTGGTACCGTGGTGATTAGTATGCCACGGCCCGTTGCAATAGACGTATTCGTTAGCAGCGCTCTCTATGTGTAGTATACGAGGGAACCGCGCTCTCGGACAGGTTGGTTTAGTTACGTCGGTATCGGCGGGGCGCGCGCTGTGTATTATGAGTTATGTTGCACGGTACGGCAAAACTGTCCCGTTACAAAACCGAATCATGTGTTGTTCGCATAAGAAATTGAACGAAATCGTTCCTGACAATATTGTTCTTTTCTCGATAAGTTATCGTCTCGTGAAACGCCCGGTGTAAGAAACTCATGTGCATATGCCGGGAAATCTTTTAATTTTATCACTTTCAAAAGTGCCGGACTGATCTTCAAACTTAATTCCCTAAAAAGTACACTTAGTGATAGTTTAAATAAAGTCCTTACATATTTACAAAATTCGGAATTGTTTTTTAATATTAAATATATAAATAATTTTATCATTAATATATTATATATTATAATGTTAGTGGTGAAAGGTCAAAAATCGCGATTAAACATAAAAAGTTCCGCAACCGCAACTCATAGATTTATAATAACATAACGAAAATAATATTAAGTATTAATAAACTACCGAGCTATATGTACGTTGTACGCAATAAAAACAAAATTAAAAATCCAATACATATTGTATATAAGTGATTTTAGCTAATTAACTTCAATTTCAAGGAAATCGTTATTATTTTGTTTAACAATAATCGTAAATAAATATTTAGTTTTGATTTTATACATGAATATCGGTATTTAATTTTATTTTATTTCGTTTTCCATAAATGCGATTGATTACGATTGTCTGCGTTTCGCAAAGCTACATGGTAATTATTCCGTTCATTAAAATATGTTGTTTTATCTGATAATTGTTTAATGTTAATAAGACATAAGTCGAAATGCGACATTTATTTAACCCAGACATAAAATACACAAGATGTATAATAATACATAGATTATTGAGTTACACGGTGTTTTAGTGACAAACACACTTAAAACTAATGGCACAAACAGGGGAGGAAGGTTTAAGGGTTATATTTTTCTTCTTTGAAATTTCTTTAACAAATTATTCGTAATTATGTGTGCTCGCATATAAAATTGTTGTAAAAAATCAATGTTTTCTGCACGGTAATATTATATTACGTTATATAAATTGAATTTACGCACAGATGCAATCGTTGCATACGATATTGAAATCGTATGCAGCACAACATGATCGAAACACGGATTTGTTAGGAAAGGGAAAGGGGAAGTCCAAACATAATACGCATGATTTCAATACCAACGAAATACAAATGTTTAAGTATGTGCTCACAACACTAGATTTTATTAACTTTGAGACAATGGTCAATGTAATTTGCATATGTCTAAAATAGTGAAATACTATAACTATCACAAACAAAAATAGAGCAAATAAATAATAGTAACGATAGATAAATTTCTAAGGCGTGTTTTAGAACTTTTAATTATAACTTATACATGATAAACATAAAAATTACAACCAACATATTTTTTTTTTTTTTTAAACATAAGTTATTACAATATATTTTAATCAACACGGTTTTTTTTAAACATATCGTCCAAATATTATTACCTGTACGCCAAATAAACAGTACAATTAAAAACAACAAACAATGATCAACGTGAGTCTATAGTACAGAAAAATATAGTGTATATTTTTATTGATAACAATTTTTATTTAAATATTTCTAGAGCTATACAATTTATTGTATCTATATTTTTAATAAAGAGGATATATTTTATTATTATACTGTAAATATCGATTCATTTTTATGGACATAGATTATAGTATTATATGTCAACTCTTTATTAATTAATGCTGTGGAATTAATAGTGTAATAATGTTATTTATATAAATAATAATAACAGTAATAATAATAGTTTTCTCGTCCGTGAGAATCAAATGTCACAAAATAACCTATAAATCAACAAATGAAATCGAATCAATGTACCAATAATACCGAAATCCCTCCCGTTTTGCTAGTTGTGCCGTCTGACGTTGCCCCTCAGGCCAATTTGTTTGTTATTCATTCGTATCATCAAGGTAACCCATGGTTAAACCAAAATAAATAAATAAATAATTATATATTCGTACCGAAAATACTTAATAAAAAACATAAATAAATAACCCCTATTATACTCCCTTAAGGGTTGAATTTTCAAAAATCTTTTTTTAGTGAATGTCTATACCATAATAACTATCTGTATGCCAAATTTCAGTCCAATTCATCCTGTGGTTTGAGCTGTGCGTATGTATATCAGTCAGTCAGCTTTCTCTTTTATATATATACACAGATAAATCAACTATGATACAACATAATATCGCATTAACATAATTATGTCACTTATTTCATATGTATATGATTTATCATGACAACCAATTATAAAATTGTATTAACCCGTCATCTACAATGGGCATACTCGTATAACTATATAGTCGTATAATACCTAGATAATTCTTTTCACAAAGTATTCAAAATATTTTGGAAATATTTTTATAAAGTATTTTACTCAAGTCTAAAAGATACCTACCTGAACACGTATGTCGTATATAAATTGATAGGTACTTTCAAGTTGTAAGAAGTGTATTTTATAGCTTCCTACTATAATTCCTTGGCCCGATACTACACTATAACCAAAAAAAAAAAAATGGCACGAATAAATCTAAGCAAACTTTAACAATTAAGCGAAAACAAAAAAAAAGTATACTTTATTCATTTTATAAGGAAATTAGTAAGAAAGTACACTTACAGTGATAATTTATTACTTTTAACTAAAACTCGGTTGTGTGCGGGAAGGGGGTTGTTTTTTTCTTAAGTCATTGGTCGGTATTTTCTTTTTCTCTGACGGTAACTATGATTCGGGGCGAATCATTATACATGAATGATAATAATAATTATACAATAATAAATACTATAGGTATAGAGTAGATTTTTGTGAAACACAATATACCGACATTAGTTAAATAAATGAACGATTCTGTTATTCATGCTTTTTTTATAATAAAAGTAGGGTCCGGATTTCAATAGTTTCCAAGTACATTCGATTCATGTAACAGATCGGTAGGTACTTCAAACGTGAACTCTTACTTTTAATTTTTTACCATTTTTTGTTAGTCTTAAGTGTATATTCAATATTTATACATTTTACGAATAAGTATAGTTTAAATTTAAGTTATTCAAAATATTGTCTTTTTGTTTACAATGAAATGAATAGATTAATAGATACATTTTTATCTTTAATAGATTTTATGAATATTTCATCAATACAGATTGCCAATCGTTCAAATTGTTATATTTATGATTTCTAATAACGTCTTTATTTCATTTTTATGAACTGCTACGATGCGTCACTCGAGTTCAAATAATAAATACAAATTACATTAGTGAAACTTTTATTTTTCATTGTTCGCTTTTTTCTATTTTTAAAGAATTGTTTAACACATTTAGGTTATTTTTAAATGTATTTTTTCATCCAGTAATTTTTTTTTTATTCAATTAAGCTATTTTTTAAAGCATTTAAATCCGAACCCTAAATGTAAGCACCATCGTCTTTTTAACAGTAGGTACAATATTATGTGTTTGATGATCCACGTTTGCATGTTATTATTATTTAACACGCTTGTTGGAGATTTACTATATTGTTCAAGGTTGATAAAAGCAATGTAAACGACATCGCCGTTATACCTACCTCACAGTTCTAAAACAATATTACGTACCTACGTTCTAAAGGGATACTTTCATTTTGATCACGTCCTCGCGGCATATTATATTGTACACACCCAACCAAATGCAAACCACCCAAATAAAATGTAGCGAGCCACTTTGCGCTTTTTACAAAGATAATTCACCCCTTCGATTCGAATGCATATAATAGCGGTTTCAATAGCGTAGTTTACGAACACTTATATCAATGTTATCATTACAAAATACCTATACGTTTAAAAACCTTCCTATGATATCTGCAAATGTTATACTGCCATATTGGTAAGGAAAAGTTTAGGTATGCTTTAAAGAGATTAGTATGTTGAGGTATGCAGCGTGTTGTAAGGTGCACAGGCTTCCTCCACTCTAGTAACCTTTAACTGATAATGACGGATCGTAGGGCTCCTAGGTGTCTCATACGTTTTTCTACACCACTCATGTTAACACGTTTCACTTTATGACGATCTTCTATTTCTAAATTTATAGAAAATAATTATACTACTCACTAAATATTAACGGGAAACTATAATAGTCTATACACAAACCGACACAAACCTACTAATTACTTAGTAATTTAGAAATATTCACTTTTCGTTGTACATTGTCCAAATAATCTTAACGGTTGATATTACCATAGATTAAATATACTATATTTAATCAACTTACACGAAAAATTCATCCTTGACCGTCAATACGACTTCTGACGTTTATTCTCGACCCATATGTTTGTATTTAGAAACGCGTTCGATAAGATAATATAATGAACGGCAACCACGAACGGCGCAAAAACCTGTTCTATCTAGATTTTAGAACACTTTTATTTTCGATTTGAAAAATATGACAAATTTTATTTGTTAAATGAAATTTTATTTTGAATAGAAAAATGAATTTCCATTCATTATTATCTGTAACTATAAAGTAATAACAAACTGTGGGGGACAAAGGGGCTAAGGCCCCTCCTTGTTATCAAACTACCTTTAAATAATAATTTCTTGCAAGAAATCTGTACAGATGTTCAAAATGTTAAATTATAATCACGGCCTCTGTAGATAGTTGTGCTATCACATTAAACGATCATGGGTCACATTTACTAACTGACCTCTGGTCGTGTTTATTGAAAATATAATTTTCAAACCAAAAGGATATTGCCCCCTCCCCCCAAGAAGACGAACCAAATCCAAGTTCGCTATTGGTGCATAGAAGTCTAATAACTGGGAAAAACCGGGATAAAATATATGAAAACGAACAGATATTTACGATGTTAATTTCATCAATTTAAATATCTTCAAATTTTGTTGTTAGCCAGAAATCTAAAACCGAAATTTAAAAATTAAAAGTATTATTTTTTGTGAATGACAATTTTATCTAATTGGTATTGAATTAAGTGTTTTTTGATTTATTGTATAATTTTCTTAATAGTTAAGGAAAACCAGAAAACGAGAAAGTTTACGGCACTAATGATTTCATTATTTTCGATTTTGTTTTTGTTACAACAAATTACAATTCAGATAATCATTTTCACAAAATAAATTGCATACGTTGAATTTAATAAACGTGATAGAGTTTTCAAAAATATTCTGACGTTTTTTGAGCTATCTATAGACATTTAATATTTTCGAGTTATTTTATTTTATTTGGCTTAATGTAAATACAATTGTTTTAAACGAACACAAATGTTTGCAAAATGAGCTAAGGTTCATTATTAATTGTAATTAGTAGTAAAAAAAATTTGAAAAAATGTAGTATTTTTTTTTATAAAATTTCAAATTTTGAAAACAATTATTACGTCATTTGAAAACATGTATAACCTGTACAGTTCGACCAAACTTCACTAAGTATAAATTTTCTTTAACAATGATTTATCGATGAGTAAAGATTAAAATTAAATGCCTTTATGTCTTCTACCTTCCTAACGTTCAACCTACATTTTATTTTCACAATAACTTTGCATAAATTATTTATTTATTTTCTTTTCCGTGGTTTTTAAATGGTAATATATGTATAGGTACATAATATTATGGTATTACTGTAATGGTATACATTTAAATGATAAACGACAACTAACAAATTAGTTATGATCTATATTTTTAGCGTATAATAGAAATTTGCATTCTAATCGTACAATTTGTACTGAGATTTACTTAAAATAATTATGTAAATGTTGAGAAAATCAATAGGTACCTACAACCTACAAATTATAAACATTTCACTCCGTCCTATTTAAAATTAAAATTCAATTCATAAAATCATTTGAACGTTGTATTTAATATATTTGTTGAAGTGGTGGTAAAAATCTGGATATAACGAAGTTCAATAATCCGATGTCAACAGTGTATTTAAAATTCGAGTTTTATTATTTTGAAATTTTGATTTTCCATTTTTTATTAAAATCAAAAACTAATCATATTTATATATTCATTTTATTTTATATAAATATAATAAGACTAATATTGTGTAACATTTCTAACATAAATTATCTAATAATAATTAATTATAGATTTTATCAAATAAAGATAATATATAGATGAAAGGCAGCCGCTAGAAAATATACAAGTATTATAAACCTTTTTTTTTTTTCAACAAAATCATTAGATACTCACTATAGATTATGATCGTAGCGAATAATCTATACAAAAATTATATATTTTAATACATTAATACATTAAAAAAAAAAAATCAAATTTTTATATCTAAAATTCGAATTTTTGGATAATCCGAATAAACATAACATCACTAATTTATTGTTCATTTTATTTTGTTTGGCTATTATTTAATGTTTAGGTAATCCTTTATTAAAATTCTGTAGTTACTTCTATCGTCATAAAAATAAAATAAATACATAAAAAATAATTTTACGTTTCATATTATTTACTTAACTAGAAATCTTTTTAAATTTTAACCAAATTCCATTTTCCGGCAACACCATTAGAGCCTTTTTACCCAATTTTAAAGGGATATCAGTCTTTCCGCACGGCTCCAATTCAAATTTAGATAAAATTTCAACCAAGGCCAATTTCATTTCCATTTCAGCAAAACGTATTCCTATGAAAATTTAAACATATTAGATGAGTTCAAGATCACATCTCGTAAATGTAATTATTTCTCAACATTTACCAATACAAATCCGTGGACCATCACCAAATGGCAAGTAAGTACCACTCTGACGTTTTGATTTTTCTTCCTGTGAAAATCTCTCCGGGTCGAATACTTCGGGATTCGGATAATATTGAGGATCGTAATGCAATGAATGAAGGGGTATCATTATTTTTTGGCCCTTCTCAATAACTAATGAATCGTTAGGTACGCGATAGGTCTGAGCAGCTTTTCTAAATAATGCGAAACTTGGAGGATACTTACGAAGTGTTTCTGAAAATCATAACAATAAAATTGAATAGGTATAGCGTATGGATAATATAGTTAAACAATTTTCAGTACATTTTAATGGCATGAAGTATAAACAAATCTTTCTATTATATATATATATATATATATGTGTGTGTGAGTGTGCGTGTGTGTGTGTGTGTGTATAATAACGAATGTATATATGTTTGTCCTTTATGCATTACTATACATCATTCGTCCGATCGCCATGAAACTTTGGGAAGTTGTTGAATACCAGCGAAACAGGGTGTATTCTAAGAATTTTTATCAACAATGAAATTTTCATAAACCTCAAAATGTTGCAACAAATAATATTTGTATGCAATTGGTAGCAATAATATACACACATATATATATATATACATATTTATACATTCATACCTTTTTAAAGTGATTTTTATAGGACATATTAAGTCTTCAGTTTTAATTGATATATTCATCTAACCTATGAACCTAATTATTATAAATAATAAATAAACAAATATATAAACTTTCAAGGTTGTCCAGAGGGAAATTACCATCCGGTGTCTCATGAAAGTACTCCAAAAATGATAGAAAAATTGCCTTCAAAGTGATATCTTACATTTTTATTTTTTAAGTTATTGACAATTTAAGTTTTTTTTTAATTAAACCCTACTTACCATCCGTTTTTGTTATGTATCTTCAAAACTTTGAACTTATGAAGTTAATTTTATTTTAATTTTATAGTTATTCTATTGTGTTATCAACCAACATACACAATTAAACCAGAAATATTCAAATTAAACATACGAAAATAAAACTTTTAAGGTATTTTAGGTAATTTTTTAGTAAAATAGTAAAATAAAATAAAAACGGTAGTAAATAGGAAATTATTTGGAGCTATACGTGATTTATTGTGCCTTCGTGCTATCACCCAACATACACAATTAAACTAGAAATATTTCAACAATTTATATATTTTTAAATAAATCACGCGTATAACTCTAAATAATTTATAATTTACTGAAATATACCTATAATACCTTAAAACTTTTATTGGTTTTAAGTATTAGCATTTGTCTTTTAGCGCCATTTCATAATAATACATTTTTTTACAACGCACTGGAATATTCCGAAATGCAGATTTTATATTGTGTACCGCATACTTTGAGCTCCAAAACACATTATTTAAGCCCTGCTGAACGAATTAAAAAAATTGAAAAGCGTTAATATTTTTAAAAAAAAAAATCGATAATTTATCAAGATAAGTCTATAATGATGACGGTCCCTCAAGAAATGTGGTGCCCATGGTTAATATCCCCCCTAAAACCCCACTGAATACGTCCCTGGCCCATCTATCACCTATTAATAACGGTTATATAACAAGTAGATAATAATTACATAAATCAAAATGTCTATAATAACAAATTTTATTTAATGCAATAAACACTTATAAGCAACCGAACACCACTATATGTTTTGGTCAGCGGTGAACAAATACATGAACGTAATCTTGAGAACGATTGATACATTGAAATTTCTAATTTTTAATCATATTTTATGTCTACAACGAAGAACAATAGTTATGAAAAAATATAAAGGACAACGGGAAATCCAAAAATATCTTTACATATCCATTGAAAGAGAACAACCCGAAGAGTAAAAAGAAACAATTTAAAAACAGTTATTGAAAAAATTAATTTAAATCTACGAGACATGCGTTTACAGCATGTAATACAAATGTGAGATATTTGTATTATTTCTATTTGCAAATAGCAACACTCTACAGCACTTGTGTTAGGACACATAACATATCGACGATACAAAAAATAACATTCAACAGTGCAAAAGTGGTTCAAAAGTGGTCCGAAGTTCAATAGCACGTTGCAATATACCCTGCCGCAAATTGCAAAGGTTTCTGACATTTTTTGATAGTACTACTATCACCCACAAATACAGGTTTTTAGGTACTTTTGGCACGAAGATTAAAAATTTGTTTTATTTATTGGTAACCTAGATAAAATGGATAAAAAAACAAATATTGTTAGTTAACTAAGTTGTCATGGGCAGATTTTTATTATGTATATGGTATGTATTGTATGAAGAAAAAATAATTAAAAATTGGCACACGCCAGGTGAAATAGCTTGTATGTTTATAAAATGCAATATTTAATATACATGAAATAATAAAATTTACCTTTCAATACCATATCTAAATAATTTAGATCTGCCAAAAATTCATTATCAATTACTCCATTTTTTTTTAATAATTGTGATTTAATTTCATCGCGACATTTATCTTGAATATCCTTCTTCAATGCTATTTCATACAAACAAAAACTCAAAGCTGTAGACACTGTTTCAGATCCAGCAAGGAACATAACAAAAGCATTAGCTACGATATGTGTTTCCGTAAGTTTTTCTAAAAAATACAAGAAGACAACACGTGTAAATGGTTTTTTATATTTTAAATTTCATTTTTAATGATATTTTTTAAAGCTTTTCTTACCGCTTGGATGTATATTCTCGTTGAGAACCAAATCACGTCTTGTTTGCATAAGAACTTGAACGAAATCGTTCCTGACAATATTGTTCTTTTCCCGATAACTTATCGTCTCGTGAAATGCCGAGTGAAAAAACTTACAAGCTTCTATCGGAAAATCTTTTAATTTTATTACTTTCAAAAGTACCGGACTTATCATCAAACATAATTCCCTAAAAAGTATTCTCAGTGATGGTTTAAATAAGGTCTTTCCGTATTTACGAAATTCGGAATTGTCATCATTTATAGCGTTCAACTTGAGGCCAAAAGCGCATGTACCAATAACGTCCGTCGAAAACTTTCCCAAGACGTCTAGCACTTCCATTTCGTTGTTGTTGTGTTCCAATATACTCTTACTAATGTTTTTCATAAGTTCTTCACCGCATTCTTTGATTTGTTCGTACATCAACTTGAGTTTGCTCGAACTGAACGCCGGACTTAGTTTGTGCCTGATCATTTTCCATTGGGGGTTTTCTATGAAGAATATATTGTTCGACAACGGGTTCGCCGAGAAATCCGAGTAAATGCCATGATCTGGGAAATACGAAAAGTCTTTTATGAGTACTCTGTTGATTATTTCTGGATCACGAATCATCAAATACGGTGTCCTCATTTGGAACAGTCCCACATATTTATGACCCACAAATTCGTTGTAAATTCTCTTATAAAAGTCTACCGGATGTTCGGATCCCAAAGCAACGGTCAGAAAATTGCCAAATAACGGTATAGGTCGGGCATAAGGCACGTTGAGTTTTTCCCATTTTCCAAAAGTTGACGTGCAAAAAAAATATGCGACCATTGAAATAATTATTATACAAGAGGTGGCGACATTTATTAGCCACCAATCGGGAGAATATGAAAACATGGCGAGAGATTTGCGAGAGAACTACGTACGAAACACTAAGTTTCTGTTTACCTAACAATAAAAATCACAACTGCTTTAGATACCTACGCCGTAAGTGAAACGTATGATCAATGCAGGCAGCTGTGGCCGCGCCCATAATCTCGTGACCTCCACAAAATATGTGCCAAATTGCATATTAATATAGCCTACTTAGGAACAAAGATATGTAAAAAAAAAACATTTTCTATACTGTTTTCAAAAAAGTATTTACCATTCCGGATAATGTGAGTTCATTAATTTTATCATTACATTGTTAGACATTATAATATTGTAATGCTAGTGGTAAAAGGTCAAAAAACGCGATTAAACATAAAAAGCTCCGCAACCGCAACTCATAGATTTATAATAACATAACGAAAATAATATTAAGTATTAATAAACTACCGAGCTATATGTACGTTGTACGCAATAAAAACAAAATTAAAAATCCAATACATATTGTATATAAGTGATTTTAGCTAATTAACTTCAATTTCAAGGAAATCGTTATTATTTTGTTTAACAATAATCGTAAATAAATATTTAGTTTTGATTTTATACATGAATATCGGTATTTAATTTTATTTTATTTCGTTTTCCATAAATGCGATTGATTACGATTGTCTGCGTTTCGCAAAGCTACATGGTAATTATTCCGTTCATTAAAATATGTTGTTTTATCTGATAATTGTTTAATGTTAATAAGACATAAGTCGAAATGCGACATTTATTTAACCCAGACATAAAATACACAAGATGTATAATAATACATAGATTATTGAGTTACACGGTGTTTTAGTGACAAACACACTTAAAACTAATGGCACAAACAGGGGAGGAAGGTTTAAGGGTTATATTTTTCTTCTTTGAAATTTCTTTAACAAATTANCGTCGCATACGATATTGAAATCGTATGCAGCACAACATGATCGAAACACGGATTTGTTAGGAAAGGGAAAGGGGAAGTCCAAACATAATACGCATGATTTCAATACCAACGAAATACAAATGTTTAAGTATGTGCTCACAACACTAGATTTTATTAACTTTGAGACAATGGTCAATGTAATTTGCATATGTCTAAAATAGTGAAATACTATAACTATCACAAACAAAAATAGAGCAAATAAATAATAGTAACGATAGGTAAATTTCTAAGGCGTGTTTTAGAACTTTTAAATTATAACTTATACATGATAAACATAAAAATTACAACCAACATATTTTTTTTTTTTTTAAACATAAGTTATTACAATATATTTTAATCAACACGGTTTTTTTTAAACATATCGTCCAAATATTATTACCTGTACGCCAAATAAACAGTACAATTAAAAACAACAAACAATGATCAACGTGAGTCTATAGTACAGAAAAATATAGTGTATATTTTTATTGATAACAATTTTTATTTAAATATTTCTAGAGCTATATATATCTGTAAGTAATGATAAATCTTTGCTAACGATAAGAGATTCTATGCTGAGTTCAATTGATATAGTAATGCTTAAGTATAGAATAAAGAAATATAATATAAAGAATAACAGTTAAAATTATGTATTGGAAACGAAATTTATTATATTTTAATATAGAATTTCGTTTTTAATAATGTAGGTTCCCATGGCAACAATGATTTAAAAAATATTGAAATATTTAAAAACTTAATAATAACAAAAACATTAATAAAAACGATTGGCAATAACAACCTTAATTTTAACCTTTCAATCTTTTTTAACCCATAAAATCAGGTTTTCTTCATCATCTTGAATATTAATAACAATTTCAAAAAAGGACCTTCCTAATTACCACACAGAGAACATTTCCTTTCGGAAAAGGTGCTATACTTGATAGTCGGAGTAAGCTTTCTAGTAGTAAAAGTGTTCACTCGCTCCGCTCAGAATCTAAAATACAATATTATAATTACAACTCGTTATTTATTGTTCGCCGATAGTTGAATAACAATTGAATTATTACATAAGTAGCTAAAAACAGCAAAAATATTAAGCGTACGATTTTTAACTGGTTTTCGCTAAAGAATTCCGACAAGGTTTTTTTTTCGTTTTAAATAGTAGTTTGTAAACGAAAAATAGTACGATGCCAGAGTTTTGGCCGAGTACGGGTCAAACGTTCGATAAATAGGCAATTATAACAATAATAATAATAAAACTGTGTAAAATAAGTCGAGCGAATCCGGTCGGTCGTCAATCGGTCGTGCTGAGGATGTCGTCATAAACCGGTACAGTCTGCACGCGGTTCACGTCCGAATCCGTTACGGAAGACGAGCCGCACCGGAAATCGGCCGATTCCGTCGTTTCCGTGTAGACGACCGCCACCACCAGCAGCAACAGCAACATAATATTATCTGGTCTCCGACAACGAGTCGACGGTCCGGGAAAAAACCGCGTATTCTCAGCCGTTTACGTCCCCCAGTAGTCAGCGATCCGAACGCGGCGCGGGCGGAGGCGATTCGACACCGAACCCGCGCGACTGGCTACCTCGACGGCACGAGTACCGCGCCGCACGTCGTCGTCCAGGCGGAAACGACCGCTTCGGGTTTCCCGGGACAGAGACCCTGGACCGGGGTACGGGAGCGCGACCCGTCCGGAGCCCGTTTGCCGCGCAATCGTAACAACAGTAGACCGCGGTGCATGACGTCGGTGCGAATATCCGTCTTGTACCGCGGTACCGACCAAATCCGGTACACCGTGCGAACGACCCGGTGGTCCGGCGTATACTGTAAAAAGAGTGTAAAGTGATTATGTCGACCGCGCGTTCGGTAAACCGGGTTTTCGCCTCGGTCATGCACCACGAAACGATAATACGACGGCGACCGCTTTATCTGCGGTACGAATTCGCCGTGCTTTTAGCCTCGCGCACGGGTTTACGGGGGATTATAGTCTCTTATCTCGCCAAGACAAGGCCGAGAAAATCCGTTCTGACAAAAAGCACAGGTCGCGTAGTAATAATGCGATGCACCGCAAGCGAATTGATAACGATAATCCCGTCCCGCGCCGCCCGTTATAACATTATAAACCGCCGCGGTTATCTATACGATTGATAACTACGTGATCAAATATCAAAACCGGACCTGGTGTTAAAGCGTATAGAAATTATGTTAGGTCATTTTTTTCTTCTTTAACATTCTGAGTGTATAAAGTGAAAGGCCACTGGCGTAAATAGCATTTGAGTTTTAAAAGTGCCGAAGCCCTGAGGACAAACCAGAACTGGGATACTTACAGAATTATACACCCCTAAACTAATGAATAAAACTAACTACACGTTTTTACAAACGTACTGTTTCGACTATATTGCCAGTACAAAATACTACACGCTCAATACGTCCTTGTAGTATAATAAACAAATAAAACGAATAGATTTAAATGACTACACCGTTCCTCCAATTGCCACAAAACTTTGGTAATTTGTTGAGTGTATCCCCGCATAGTACCTCGTTAATACGAATGAAAAATATTATTAGTTATTTGAGTTGTCATGGTTAAGCTCTTAATTTTACTGACGCGATCAAAACCAAAAATGTTTAACATAGTTAAAAAATACAAATAAAAAAAAAGGCACGGAAAAATGCCAGGCGGGATAACTTGTACAATATATATATAAATAATGCTATATACTTAATATTTATATTAATTCATAATATATTTTATTTAATGAAGTACACGTTTGTTTTATTTTACATACTATGTATTTTATTTTGCAATTTAACATAGCGTTCTAGTTAAAATGTTTACATTCAAATTATATAAATACTTTATCTAGGAAATGCATAGAATAACTAGTTATGTTATACAATTACGGATTATGAAGTTCAAGTGTTTAAACTAATAACTAGTTAAAGTGGGCAAACGAATAATAATTATGATAGTTACCTACATTATTTATTAAAATTAGTACACGATTGATTTGGATCCATATTATAGTTAACATTTATACATTTTTGTTTACAGACTTTTTTTTTTACATTACATTATAATTTTAATTATATTCTCTACATTATTTATCAAAATTAATAAAGGTATTTTGATATTAGAATTGTTTTCATTAAATGGGTAAATGAATGTTTCAACGCAATTTATTGTTTATAAAATCGTAATTTTTCGGAAGCCAATAATCACGGGTTTGTGTTTTTTTTTTACTTTCATTTTTTTGACGACAGATTCCAAATTCAAATGTCTTTCACTGGATAACACTATTATTTTTACACTCACGTTTTTCAATTGATTCGTCAAATTTTTGCTTCATAAGATTTATTGTTTCATCTATATTGAGCAAAAATAATTTAAAAACCTCAATAAAAAAAAAAGTACGTGAACTGCAGCTATAAAATGCATTAAACGTATAACTATGAAGTACTAAAAACTGAAAAAAACTATATTCTTGCGACTAAACATTATAGTCACCGATTAAAAGTCACTGGTAAATAACGCGATATTATTGTAAAAGAATAACAGCATTGACAACTGCTGAATAGATAATTATAATTCCTTATTACTTTTGTATATTATTATTTGCATAATAGATACAAGTCAACTTATATTTCTGCAGAATATAGACATACGATATAGCATATACATTATATTCGATTTACATATAATTAAAATTAAACACTTGTTTCTTTTTAGAAAGTCTTATAATAAGACTAGATAAACTCACTAATTGGTGTCCCAAACCTGTCTTAAACTGTATTAATATATTAATAAAAAAATGACATGATATTATTTATTTATTATAACAAACAAAAAATTAATTTAATTTTTGATATAGATAGAACAAAGATATTAGGTTGTGCACCGACTATTTTTAACACTAAGAGCTGCCACTGATTAATATCAATAAGAAAAAGAAATTACTTTTTTTTTTAGTTACTATTAAAGACTTTAAATTAGTATTTTCAAAACATTTACGGAGGAACTTGTTGGCGTTAAAAAATATTTTTCAAATGACAACCTATTTTCAAAACGGGATAAATTAATTAATTATTCAATGAAATAAAATTTGGTGTTGGAATTTTTGAACTTCAGCAAATCGTTTTTGAATAGCGCTCAAATACTCTCCCCCGGCCATAACTCAAAAGTGAAATATCTCGTGAACAAATTAACAGAAATCAAAATTGTCAACACATAAAATTTACCCCTGAGGTGAGCATGCTTAATGAATCATACTGTATATATTATCCAATAATAAATAATTTATACATAATGCATACGATAAACACAGATATACTTAAGTTCAAATATTACATTATACCTATGTCATATTTCATCAACAACGAAGCCGGGGAGGAGGGGGAATAATGTAACCTCCCACGAAAGGTTTTATTATTATTTTTTTTTTTTTTAGATGTATTAAAGTGATACATTTTGGTCGCATTTCAATATGAAATAAAAAATTATAACTTTATACAAATATAGAAATAAAATTGATTAAAGCAAAAACATTAACAATTATATGTAACAAATAATTTAATTAACTAAAAATTTCTTTAAATTTTAACCAGATTCCATTTTCCGGCATCACCATTATAGCCTTTTTATTAAATTTTAATGGAATGTCAGTCTTTCCGCACGGCTCCAATTCAAATTTAGATAAAATTTCAAATAAGGCCAATTTCATTTCCATTTCAGCAAAACGTATTCCTATAAAAATTTAAACATATTTTATTAGCTCAAGACCATACTCATCTCGTGAATGTAATTATTTCTCGACATTTACCAATACAAATCCGGGGTCCATCACCAAAAGGTAAGTAAGTACCTTTCACTAGTTTTGACTTTTCTTCCGGAGAAAATCTTTCCGGATCAAATACTTCAGGATTCGGATAATACTGAGGATCGTAATGCAATGAATGAAGGGGTATTATTATGTTCTGACCTTTTTCAATAACTAATGAATCGTAAGGTACATGATAGGTCTGAGCAGCTTGCCTAGATAACGTGTAACCCGGAGGGTACTTACGGAGTGTTTCTAAACATGGTAATTTTAAAATTGTATATTTATTTCAGTATCGATAATTCAAATTATGTTTTTAAGCAATTTGTGTTATATTTTAATGATCATAATTCATAGTACAAATACGTATATACATAGTAATAAAATCAATTTTTTCAAATACATAAAATAATAAAGAATGATTTATTAATAATTACCTTTTAAAACCATATCTAAATAATTTAGATCTGTCAAAAATGTATAGTCAATTACTCCGTTATGTTTCGATATTTGCGATTTAATCTCTTCACGACACTTATCTTGGATATTCTTCGCTAGCGCTAGCTCATATAAACAAAAACTCAAAACTGTAGATACTGTGTCCGATCCGGCAAAGAAAATACCAAAAGCATTCGCCAAAATGTGTGTTTCCGTAAGTTTGTCTAAAAAATAACAGAACACAACATGTATATTGTAAAAATTTTAANTTATCTGCAACCGTGATAGTAAACATAAAATTACATAAAATGTAAAAAAAATATACAACGTATAAGTATGTAATTTTCGCTATTATTTAATATACATTTTATTTAATACGGATTTACAACTATTTTCGCTTTGTCCCTTGGTGCAACACAATATTCAAATATAATTATTATACTTTTACTTTTACATTGTTTAGTCGTAGTATATCATAATATATTAAAAATGTTTAGTTTTATTTTGTAAAAAATAAAATACAAAAATCAAGATTTATGTACTTATTTGATTTTATTATTGGTAAAATAACAACCTATATTCCATATGAAATGGCTACGACCGCTTATTATCTGCAGTTAAAATACTGTTCATTTTTAGCCTCATACGGGCTTATGAGGATTTGTCTTATCTTGATGAGACCTTACCGAATTAAATTATATTAACGATAATCCGAAATTGGCATTTAAGTCCAATGTATCGCAGGCAAAATAATGTTCCCGCTCAACCGTTTACTATAGTTATAAGGTTGGTTTGACCATGAAAGCCAAAATTATAGTTTTATTGACTCGATATTATAGAACTCAATAATACTTAAGTAAGTATATACACCCCTAAAGAAAAAATAAAGCTTAAAACTATACGTTTATACATATTTCCTGTTTTAACTGTATTGTCTATAGCAGGGGTGTCCAACCCGCGGCCCTCACTTCAATTTAAAAACCATGAATTAATTATATATAATATATTAATATTACGAGAACAAATTTATTTTAAAAATATAAACCATCAAATAACGTCCGTGTTTTTACCGTTGCGGCATCTTATCTTATATTACATACGGACGTGTGCATCGGACCTAAAGATAAACATTATTAGTGTTTTATCTTTATTGGCTCCGATACCAATATTCTGTGTCATTTATCAAAAAATAAAAATAAAATACCTAATAATTTGATTTGTATAATAAACTAATAATCAAATAGCGAAATGTCGTCCAATAAGAAAAGAAAAGTAACGGACGAAGGAAGGATATTCAACGAAAAGTGGACAGCGGAATACTTTTTTATAGAAATGAAAAATGGGGCATTATGCCTAATTTGTAAGGAAACCATTTCAGTTTTTAAAGATTATAATTTAAAAAGGCATTATTTACAAAAACATGCAACCAAAATGGATTCCTATCAAGGTTTTTTTCGGAAACAAAAAATTTTAGTGTTAAAAACATGTCTTTCTTCTCAGCAACTCAATATTAAAAAAGCTACTTCTGAGTCCCTAACCGTTACAAAAACTTTTTTTATTATAAATAAATATATTTTTCTGTGTACTTATAATTAAATTATTAAATATCAATACTTGTAAAAATATTTCTGCTTATTATTCGCTAATGTAAAATTATAAAAAAAAATGTATTGTTGTAGTATAGATTATAATTTAATCATTAAATTAGAATGTATTATTATTTAAAAAAGTATGTGGCCCACAACAACATTTACCTACATGATGTGGCCCAGTATTCACAAAAGGTTGGACACCCCTGGTCTATAGTATAGACATAACTATCATTGTATAGAGTCTATACAATAATAGTTAGGTACGCCCTGAATTTGTATAATAAATAAATAAAATGCATAGATTAAAATGACTACACCGTTCCTCCAATCGCCACGAAACTTTTAGAAAGTCTTATAGTAAAACTAGATAAACTCACTGGTTTGATGTACGAAACCTGTCTTAAACTGTATTAATATATTAATAAAAAATGCCATGATTTTATTTATTTATTATAACAAACAAAAAATATATTTATTTTGATATAGATAGAACAAAGTTATTATCATATTCTTCAAATTATAGTCCGTTCAGAGTTTTTTAGATGGCTAATTTTTATGCCATAACCATATCATTATTTTAGTAACGTAATGGACTTTATTTTAGTATGACTAAAAACTTATATTCGTTATAGAATCACAAATTCGAGTAAGTTACTATAACGATGACTAAAACACTAGATTTAGTCCAACAGTCGATTATAAAAATGATTATAAGAGTTACACAATCGCCCCTCTGAGGGTTGTCTAAAGTGCCTATCAACTCTAGCAGCGATGTTATCGTTTTCATATGGGCGCGAAAACGTGCTGTTGAAATTTTTACCATCACATTTCTGTATACAATATTTACAATTGTTTATTTCATAGCCAATTATTTTTAATAGTGAAATACCGTTGTTATTGTCTTTTGAGAGTTTAAACTTTAGAGTCGTGTGCCATTTGCAGAAGTATTTCCGTATTCAGGCCTTATTATAACGGGCAGTAGGATTTAAATTGCGCAGTAAGAAATATCAAAAGTGCAACTGGCATCATAAATGTGGGTACTTGAATAAAATATAATTTTCCTTATCATTGAATGATTAAATTTCTATACTTGATATTGCGTAATTTATAAACTTACTTCGTACCTAGAGCTGGTTAGACACCACACAATTCGTACGTCCCATTTTTCTGGAGTTAATTCATTATTTCTTTGCTGTATTTATTTTTCAATTTCATTTTCTTCGTAAGATTTGTTTTTTTTTTTTTTTTTTTTTTGAGGGGGATAGAATAGTATTAAATTCCACGTGAATTTCATAAAAAAAAACTTTTCGTTGTATTTTGGGCAATAGATAAAAATCCTTAGAATGAGCCCCGCCTAAATTAGATCAATATTTAATATACGTCCAAGCTCAGAGAAAGAGTTAACTTGAGCTAATAAGCAATAACATTTTCTGTTAATATCAGTGGTGGCTCGTGCGTTATAAATGGGCAGGTGCATACACCACGTACCATTTTATCACATTAATATTTATTTTTTTTTTTTTTGAAACCTAATCAATATAAATTGTTCATTAGAAATATCTGGATGCTATTAAAAATAAAATATTCAAAAATATTGTTCCCAAAGTAAAAATAGTTATGCAATCGGTACACACCAATCGGTGCTCAACACTGTATCAGCACAGAATGCCTGTATAAAATACGTATGGTTAACAAGTAGGGGATTGAGAAATACAACACAACTCGGTGCGCAGCTACAACAACAAAACGATTTTTAAAATAAACGTTATCTACATTTAATTTTGAGGTTTTTTTCATTTATATTCTAATTTCTAAACGAATGATTGAATTCTTTTCACTTAGAACTGACACCTCATTTTTTCTTTCAAAATGAAATCATTAAAAAATATGATGTAAATATGACTAGGAAGGTAATTTAATGAGGCCATTTTTTGTATTTCCCGGAGTTTTCTAATAAGTGTAAAAAACAGAAAAAAAAGGTACAATAATAAAGAAACTACATTATGCATATTTAATTATTTTAACATATATGACATATATATTGTTGATAAGTCACTAATCGATCAAATTCTGCTCGGAAACATTTTTTATTATAAGCAATGGTTGCTAACAGAAATACATTAGATTACCTATAGCACTAACTACAATAGTCCCCAATGTCCTAAAATAGCTTTAGAAATTTGGAAAAACAAAGGTTAGATTAGATTATTTTAGTAAATAAAAAATTATTTTTTCTGACAATGAAAGTTTGGCAATTTAAGATAAATAATTGCATGATCAATGGAAAAATAATTGTTTAAATTTTAGTGAAGCTACAAATAATATTATCGTATAGGTAACTAGACTTTTCAAAACATTTAAGGAGGATCTTGTTGACGTTACTAAATGTTTTTCAAATGAGAACCTATTTTAAAAACGTCATAAATAAATAAATTATTCAATGAAATAAATTTTGGTGTTGGAATTTTTGAACTTCAGCAAATCGTTTTTGAATAGCGCTCAAATACTCTCCCCGGCCATAACTCAAAAGTGAAATATCTCGTGAACGAGTTAACAGAAATCAAAATTTTCAACACTTAAAATTTAACCCTGAGGTGAGCATGCCAATGAATCATTCTGTATATATTATCTAATAATAAATAATTTATACATAATACATACGATAAACACAGATATACTTAAGTTCAAATATTACATTATACCTATGTCATATTTCATCAACAACGAAGCCGGGGAGGAAGGGGGATAATGTAACCTCCCACGAAAGGTTTTATTATTTTTTTTTTTTTTTAGATGTATTAAAGTGATACATATTAGTCGCATTTCAATACGACATAAGAAATTATAACTTTATACAAATATAGAAATAAAATTGATTAAAGCAAAAACATTAATAATTATATGTAACAAATAATTTAATTAACTAAAAATTTCTTTAAATTTTAACCAGATTCCATTTTCCGGCATCACCATTATAGCCTTTTTATTAAATTTTAATGGAATGTCAGTCTTTCCGCACGGCTCCAATTCAAATTTAGATAAAATTTCAAATAAGGCCAATTTCATTTCCATTTCAGCAAAACGTATTCCTATAAAAATTTAAACATATTTTATTAGCTCAAGACCATACTCATCTCGTGAATGTAATTATTTCTCGACATTTACCAATACAAATCCGGGGTCCATCACCAAAAGGTAAGTAAGTACCTTTCACTAGTTTTGACTTTTCTTCCGGAGAAAATCTTTCCGGATCAAATACTTCAGGATTCGGATAATACTGAGGATCGTAATGCAATGAATGAAGGGGTATTATTATGTTCTGACCTTTTTCAATAACTAATGAATCGTAAGGTACATGATAGGTCTGAGCAGCTTGCCTAGATAACGTGTAATCCGGAGGGTATTTACGGAGTGTTTCTAAACATGGTAATTTTAAAATTGTATAGTTATTTCAGTATAGATATTTCAAATTATATTATTAAGTAATTTGTATTATATTTTAATGATCATAATTCATAGTACAAATACGTATATACATAGTAAAAAAATCAATTTTTTCAAATACATAAAATAATAAAGAATGATTTATTAATAATTACCTTTTAAAACCATATCTAAATAATTTAGATCTGTCAAAAATGTATAGTCAATTACTCCGTTATGTTTCGATATTTGCGATTTAATCTCTTCACGACACTTATCTTGGATATTCTTCGCTAGCGCTAGCTCATATAAACAAAAACTCAAAACTGTAGATACTGTGTCCGATCCGGCAAAGAAAATACCAAAAGCATTCGCCAAAATGTGTGTTTCCGTAAGTTTGTCTAAAAAATAACAGAACACAACATGTATATTGTAAAAATTTTAAATTCTGAGAATATCGAATAGCGATAAATAATCTATTATCATTATTTTTTTATCTTTTAAAACTTTTTTTTCAGAAATTTCCCTGATTATTAATTTCATAGGTGATTTCAGCTAGCCGATTTTGTCTAAGTGGTGCATTGTATATGGTATTTTTGGAGGTTCTTTTAAATTTTTTTTTTTAACCGCATTAAAAATTTCAAAGTGTATATTTTTTTTAAAAGAAAAACATATTTCACACCATGGATAAACCACTCGGTCAAAGAACTCGGTCAAAAGTAACAACAATCTGTGGTTTCACAACAACGATTGTTTAAAAAGAAATAATAGATTAAAATATTAAAAAGTTAATATTTACTAGAAAAAATTAAAACCTGTCACTTAAACAACCTCATTTTTAATCCTTTAAAATTGTTTAACCTCAATAATCAGTTTTTCTTTATTTTGTCGAATATTAATGAGAATTTCAAAAAAAGATCTGTTTAAAGTAAAAGAGCTGCTTGTCATATTTTGGTATATTTATCGCCTCACTTAGAATTAAAAATATTTTTTACCGTTTGGATGGACATTCTCGTTGAGAACCAAATCACGTCTTGTTTGCATAAGAGCTTGAACGAAATCGTTTCTAACTATATTGTTTTTTTCTCGATAAGTTATCGTCTCGTGAAACACCGAGTGAAAAAACTCACAGGCCTCCGCCGGGAACTCTTTAATTTTTATCACTTTCAAAAGTGCCGGACTGATCATCAAACTTAATTCCCTCAAAAGTACTCTCAGTGATGGTGTGAATAATGACTTTCCATATTTACGAAATTCGGAATTGTCGTCATTTATAGCGTTCAACTGGAGGCCAAATGCGCATGTACCTATGACGTCCGTTGAAAATTTCCCCAAGACGTCTACCACCTCCATTTCATTATTGGTGTGTTCCAATACACTCTTACTAATATTTTTCATCAATTCGTCACCACACTCTTTGATTTGTTCGTACATCAACTTTAGTTTGCCCGAAGTGAACGCAGGACTCAGTTTGTGCCTTGCCGCATTCCATTGGGGAGTCTCCGTGTTAAATAAACTGCTGGATAAAGGATTTACCGAAAGGTCCGTGTAAACGCCATGGTTCGGAAAATACGAGAAGTCTCTTATGATTATCCTGTTGATTATTTCTGGATCTCTAATCATTAAATACGGTGTCCTCATCTGGAATAATCCAGCATATTTATGGCCCGTGAATTCGTTGTATATTCTCTTGTACAAATCTAGCTGGTGTTCGAATCCCAAGGCAACTTTAAAATAATTACCAAATAACGGAATGGGTCGGACATATGGCACGTTGAGTTTTTCCCATTTACTAAAAGTCGATGTACAAAAGTTATATATGACTATACAAATAATTGAACAGGTGACCGTTATATACAGCCACCAACCCGAACAAAACAAAAACATTATCGGTGATTCGCGAGAGAACGGTGTACGACTGTAAGTTGCCGATTACCAAAGAATCACAACAACTTCTTTACAATAATATACGAAACGTATTAATATTGTAATCTTAAGAACCTAATCACCAAAAGTGAAGTACGGTCACGCCCAAGTTAATCGTAAACCGATAAAACCTGAAACTACTGCAGCCAGTTGAGAATATTATCTTATTCCATTAGTATTAGTTTAATTAATATTTGTTTAGTCATCTTTATTGAAGATTTTCTGATGGAATAAGAGCTATATAAAATACTACTGATACAGTCAAAAATTGTTCCACTCTAATTCCCGAATTGCGATCCAAGTGAGTCGGTTCCGTTACTAATAATAAGCTTCGTTCACACCACTAATCAAAATTATAGGATACACAACGATCACTTTTCATTTATAAAAACTACTTTCGTCCTTGATCTGACAAGTAGCGCTTGAATGTGGTTATGATGGTTGATGAATTATGTACTAAAATCTATCTCGCAAGATATTAGTGCTAAAATATGCGCTCCCAGTTTTAATCTCTGAAAAAGTAAAAATAAATATCACCAACGATCAGTATCGATATCTAGATTATTAAAAATTGGTACTGTTGATTAGTTTTTAGAGCCTTATGTCTTATCGATGAACAAAAACCTTCATAAAACAATAGTTTGTTGATAACGGGCTTTCGTTGCTTATCTTAATATGTGGTTTTCACAATGACATTATTGTACGACACTTAAAGCCACGACTCTGGTATAACACGCGGTGTGTCTTATTAAATATTTTAGGTATGTTACTATAGTGTCACGGCACCGTGAAAAGGTGTGTTACACTAGTGTCTTATCACATAAAGCTACGGCTTTAGTATCATCGTGTGAACGAAGCTATTAAGTAACCATCTAAAGCACAACCCTGTCCTCTTCATGCTGAAATCTGCGAATACGTTTACATTTATTTTCCGATAGGTGCACTGATAATTGTTTGACATATAATTTATCGGTCACGCGAATGTTAACATTTTGTTTTTTCATTTCAGTTAGTTGTATGATCAAATATTTAACCGTGGGTATTGAGGTAACCAATATATTATCTGCAACCGTGATAGTAAACATAAAATTACATAAAATGTAAAAAAAATATACAACGTATAAGTATGTAATTTTCGCTATTATTTAATATACATTTTATTTAATACGGATTTACAACTATTTTCGCTTTGTCCCTTGGTGCAACACAATATTCAAATATAATTATTATACTTTTACTTTTACATTGTTTAGTCGTAGTATATCATAATATATTAAAAATGTTTAGTTTTATTTTGTAAAAAATAAAATACAAAAATCAAGATTTATGTACTTATTTGATTTTATTATTGGTAAAATAACAACCTATATTCCATATGAAATGGCTACGACCGCTTATTATCTGCAGTTAAAATACTGTTCATTTTTAGCCTCATACGGGCTTATGAGGATTTGTCTTATCTTGATGAGACCTTACCGAATTAAATTATATTAACGATAATCCGAAATTGGCATTTAAGTCCAATGTATCGCAGGCAAAATAATGTTCCCGCTCAACCGTTTACTATAGTTATAAGGTTGGTTTGACCATGAAAGCCAAAATTATAGTTTTATTGACTCGATATTATAGAACTCAATAATACTTAAGTAAGTATATACACCCCTAAAGAAAAAATAAAGCTTAAAACTATACGTTTATACATATTTCCTGTTTTAACTGTATTGTCTATAGCAGGGGTGTCCAACCCGCGGCCCTCACTTCAATTTAAAAACCATGAATTAATTATATATAATATATNAGCCAGTTGAGAATATTATCTTATTCCATTAGTATTAGTTCAATTAATATTTGTTTAGTCAGCTTTATTGTAGATAGACTGATGAGAATAAGAGCTATATAATAGTTTTTTGATGAACAAATAAAAATTTTCCTATTCTAATGCCCGGATCCTAGTGAGTCGGTTACGTTACCAATAGTAAGGTTCACACCACGAATGAAAATTATAGGATACACAACACTTCTCAGTTATTATAAGAACTTCTTTCGTTCTTAATCTGACAAGTAGCGCTTGAATATTGCTATGATGATTGGCAAATTTTGTACTTAAATTATTTAAAATGTAAAAAAATATACCACATATAAGTAAGTTTTTTTCGCCTATTATTTAATATACACATTATTTTATGCGGATTTACAATTTTCGCTATGTCCATTCATGCAAAACAATATGCAAATATTATTTTTATACTTTTCGTATACATTGTTTAGTCGTAATAAATCATACTCCATTAAAAATGTTTTATTTCTATTTTGTAAAAAATATAATACAAATATTAAGATTTACGTACTTATTTAATTTTATTATTGATAAAATAACGACCTATATTCGATATGAAATGGCTACGACCACTTCTTATCTGTAGTTAAAATCCTGTTCATTTTTAGCCTTATACGGGCTTATGAGGATTTGTTTTATCTCGATGAGACCCTATCGAGTTAAATTACATTAACGAAAATCCTAAATTGTTATTTAAATCCAATATATCGCAGTAGAAATTATGTTTCCACCCCACCGCTTAATATAGTAATTTGTTCTAAACATAGAATATAAATTTGTTTTTTATTACTGTTATCTCGTTTGGTTTAATGAAGAAATCCAAAAGTATGGTTTTAACGACTTGACATTATAGAACTCAATAATATTTATTTTAACATTTAGAAAAATATTCGTAGAATTATATAAAAATTGTTTTTAAAAACATACCTATTTAATATAGATGTGTTACAAATGTCTACAATATGTACAAGTGTGTGCTTGATTTGAAAATTCGATTTCGGATTATTTCATTTGAATGGAGTTTTTCTTCTATTATAATGTTAACCTGCAGATTTCCTGGGATGCATTTACGCATATACTTCTCACTATCTGAATACCTTTTTGGAAAACTGGCATTCAATTTATCGTACCTAGTATAATATTGGATAGTATTAATAATATTATCGCATAAACATTTTTTATTTTCAAAATTTTTCTGTGCATTCTAATGTAATCATTATCTACCTTATAACATTCGGTTTGAAAAACGCTACCGACACAACTCGCTAACAGTTTATTGCTAATGAAATTAATTTATATTATTACATATAATAATAAAAGAAAGTCGGTGTCTACCTATCTGTTTATTTGTTTGTTTTATTTCACAAGATCTACAACAAAATCTATCATGCACAAATGTCTGAAATTTTATGTGTACAAAAATGCACGAACAAGTTTGTGTACAACGCGAAGCTGGATTTTCGAAGTTCCACCTCTTATGGATTGCTCAAATAGGGTTTTTCGTACGGAAATTTTTTTTGATTTATGTATTACCTTGGTTCTATAGTTGGATCTTCGGAAACAAAATGTATTATTATTTCTCATCTATTTAGTTGTCAAAGACAAGGTTGTAGGTTTAAGAAAAAAAATTCCCGGCAACAGCAATTAACAGTGATAGTGATGTGGTAGAAGGGGGGGGGGGGTTCGAAAAGGAAGAGACACGTTTTTATGGTTTTAAATTTTCGTTCAACATCTACTTTACACAGGAAAAATCGTGTGGGACAGCTAACAATAAATATATATAAATTTAACACATCATTTATACATAAATAAAATAAATACTATTAAATTTAGCTTAACTATTGGTATGTATTTAACTATAAATTATTAAAAAATTTAAGGTTTAAAAAAATTAGATATCTAAACAATTTATGAACATTTAAATAAGTGATTGTGATAGTAGATAACTTGAAATTCATAATAATTGATACATTTTAACTAGTAGTTAGGTCCGGTGCACACGACGTTTATTTTATCCGATAACTCGATTGGTCTTCAGCGAGCCGCTGTAATCGATCTTATGACAACTCTTGACATTTTTACACAGATAACAATTATCATCATGACGTTTCTGAATCACATAAAAATATTTCATTTGGTCAACGCTCAAATCCACCAGAAAATGAAAATAATATGATGTTCTATCTCGAAATTCGGAACTAGAAACAACAGTGACATCATAAAAGCCATCAGGGTTACCATAAATATGATCCTGCAAACGATCCACAGCAAAGAAAGAGTCATGGACGATGGCTTTAGTAACCTTATATAATTGGTTAATACTTAGAGGTAATAGGTAATAGGTTATTACCTATAAATGTTTAATTCCTTAACTTTAGGAATTAGAAAAATTAGTTAATTCATAAGCATAATGATTTATTATAATACCGAATACACATTCAACTTCCGATCGACTATAATATATTGTAAAAAAGAAATTAAACATTATTACATTATGTTTCAATTGGCATTTACTAAAATAAATGCACATATTTAAGTAAAACAACAAGTCCTATTTTATACCCTTTTCCGCAATCCAATTTAAAATTATAATTAGATTCAGTAAAACATTGAGTTATATAATATAAATAATTTCATGCGTACAAAACGATTTAATTAACTACAAATTTGTTTAAATTTTAACCATATTCCATTTTCCGGCATCACTATTAGAGCTTGTTTACTAAATTTTATGGGAATTTCAGTCTTTTCACAAGGCTCCACTTCAAATTTAGATAAAATTTCAACTAAGGCCAATTTCATTTCCAGTTCAGCAAAACGTTTTCCTATAAAAATAGTAACGCAATTTAAGAACTTATACCATACACAACGCGTATATTTATTTTGCTTCAAATTTTACCAATACAAATCCGAGGTCCATCACCAAATGGAAGATATGTACCACTCTGACGTTTAGATTTTTCTTCGGGTGAAAATCTATGCGGGTCGAAAATTTCGGGATCCGGAAAATATTTAGCGTCATAATGCAATGAATAAATAGGAATTATTATTTTTTGACCCTTCTCAATTATTAACGAATCGTTAGGTACACAATAATCTTGAGAAGCTTTTCTAAATAATGCAAATGTCGGTGGATACTTACGGAGTGTTTCTGAAATTCATAACATATAAAAATTATGATTATTTTATCAAATAATCTTTGGTATATTTTAGTGATATTATACAGTTTTAAAATACACCATTAAAAATTTCAAATACATAAAATAATAAAAATTAAATTGAATTATAATCTATATTCATTATACTAAATAACAATTTACCTGCTAAAACCATATCTAAATAATTTAGATCTATTAAAAATTCGCTGTCAATCACCCCGTTATTTTTGGACATTTTTGATTTTATTTCTTCACGTAATCTATCTTGAATATGCTTCTTCAATGCTAACTCGTATAAACAAAAACTCATAGCTGTAGATACTGTTTCAAATCCAGCAGCAAACATAACAAAAGCATTAGCAACAATTTGTGTTTCGGTAAATTTGTCTAAATATACAAAATGACACTACGTGTTAACATTATTTATTTTAAGTATTAATTTCGAAACGTATTTTATAAGTATCTTTATTACCGTTAGGAGGTAAATTTTGATTGAGAACCAAATCTCGTCTAGCTTGCATTAAAATTTGAACGAAATCGTTCCTGACTATATTGTTCTTTTCTCGATAAGTAATCGTCTCGTGAAATGCCGAGTGAAAAAATTCACCCGCCTCTGCCGGGAAATCTTTTAATTTTACAATTTTCAAAAACACCGGACTGATCATCAAACTCAATTCCCTCAAAAGTATTCTTAGTGATGGTCTAAATAAATTCTTCCCGTACTTACGAAATGCAGATTTTTCGTCACTTATAGCGTTCAACTTAAGACCAAAAGCGCATGAGCCGATGACTTCCGTTGAATATTTTCCCATTACGTCTCGCACTTCCATTTCATTATTGTGGTTTTCTGCTAAATTATTGCGTATGGTTTTCATCAGTTCGTCACCACACTCTTTAATTTGATTGTACATCAACTTGAGTTTGCCCGAAGTAAACGCCGGACTCAGTTTGTTTCTGATCACTTTCCATTGAGGATTATTCATAAAGAATAAATTATTTGACAACGGATTGACCGAGAAGTCCGAGTAAATTCCACGATCCGGGAAATACGAGAAATCTTTTATGAGCACATTGTTGATTATTCCTGGGTCTCGAATCATTAAATACGGTGTCCTCATTTGAAATATTCCCCCATATTTATTGCCAGCTAGTTTATAGTAAATCGACCTATAAAAGTCCACTGGGTGCACGATTCCTAAAGCAACGGTCAAAAAGTTACCGAACAACGGGATTGGTTTAATGTACGGCACATTAAGTTTTTCCCATTTATTAAATGTTAACGTACAGAAATAATACGTAATCAAAAAAACTATTAAAACAGGGACAACGATATTTAGACACCAACTAGGAAAATATGAAAACATGATTAAAGAGTACTGTTGCTGTAAGCAAGAGTGTATCACAACTACAATACTTTAAAGTATTCACGGTATATATGCTTTTTCCCAACCTTGATTTATTATAGTGTTGTGTTTGGTGGGTTGTCAACATAATCATGGTCAGGATTATACTGGCGTGACACTGTGTATACATTCCATTTAATTATTGACCAGAAACCTATATACTGTAACATTACTAATTTGTTTAATGAATAGGTACTTGTGTTTTTATAGCAGAGGTGAATCAAACTGAAGGTTAGCAATTTTCTCGAAAAATTGATATTATCGATAACATTACATTTATTTTTAGATTTCTTTAACTTTAATAGAATCAAACAAATTTTCAATGCCTCTGGTACCTTCAGGTAATTTGTTTTTAATTTCTATTACTTAAAACAAAATAATAATAATAATTTGGTATAACTGTTAAGAAAACATGATATACAGAGTTTGGATCAAAGCTATAGTTAACTAAAAGTTATTTTTAAAAGCTATAGTTAATTAAAGGAATCAATACCATAACATAAGTTTCTACTAATAAGTATGATATACTAAATTAGATATCCAAATTCTTTCAAAATTGTGTATTAAAGTATAGTTTATTGTCTAAAATAGTTTAGAAACCTGCAAGAATTTAGCCCGCTCGCAATATGAGGGTCCCTCTAACTTGTTAGGTTGTTTTTTAGATTCCAAACGAAGCTATATGAATGTATTGGGTTTACAATAATGTTTATATTTTTTTTTTCTATAGACAAATTTTACTCCGATTTTCAAGTCCAGAATTTTTTCTGAAAGGAAATTTAATTGGGGGATACTTTATGGAGGTCATTTTTTGATTTCCTCAAGGGTTTTCATAATAGATGGGAAAAACCGGGAATAAACTTTACAAAATGTTCTCGAATTATTTTCAAATTGTAAATATTATGGCCTTCCAAAACATATGTAACCTACTCCGCTCAGAATCGTTTTTCGTTAGCAATAGTTAATCGTCGTGTACAGATATATATTAAATTTCTCCTTTACCTTCTCAAATTCCTACCAACAGTGGCCTACCCATCGTACAAAGTATATAAATCTTTTTTTTTTATTTAACTATAAAAACATCAAATTAATCAAAGTGTACATATAAGTGTACATCACCTATATTATTAAATGAATAACACAAAAAAACTGCGTGTGGAATTACGTATGGAATAGTAATTAAGTTTGCGTGAGCGAATGTATTGTACATTTCATCATAATCACTCAATATGTTACCAACAAGTTTTTAAAGCTCTTGAAATCATTAATTCTGAATTTAAAAGTGTGATAGACACTGCTACTTATTTTTCCTTTTCCAAAAAACGTAAATGTATACAATTAAAACAATGGATCACTAAAGGCATATTAATTCCTATTAGAAAAATAGAACAGCTTTTTGCAATTAAAATTAAACGCCCATTTTTTCGCAAATATTGTACAAAATATAGAAATTTACTAAAAATATTAATCAAAAATACACGTAGTTTATTTTATCAAGATAAAATCAATAGTGTACCAGGTATATAAAAGAAATTTGGAATTTAATAAATTAACGAAGCTAGGAAAAATAATTACAATATACGTACCTATTAATCAAATATGTAGTGAAGTTGGTAATATTATAAATAGTGAACAATTTGAAATTGCTTGTGAGTTTAACACATATTTCTTTATAGTCGGAGTAAATATTGCTAATCAGATAAATGAAAATGTGTATGAGAAATTAAGCCGTAAGATTTGCATGTTAATGATGTTATCAATGACACTATATTTATTTATTTATGTGACGCGTAAGATATTTTTATTTATTTTATTTTATTATAAATTAATGCCAGTTGGTTATTTATTTACATGAATACATAATTATTTTAGAGTAGAATGGACTAAATACGAATGTTATTGTTAGCTAAAGACATCCCTCTAATAATGAAAGCATTTTTTTGCGAAATTAGACCTACTCACTGGCAAGTAAAAAGATCCCTGAAACCTGATGTTACCTGGAACACAAATGCATAGTCGCTTTTACAAACGAAGTGTGTCAATATAACCTTCAAATAATCCCCGAGTAAAATTGACACAGAATCTAATGCAACGACGTTCAGATAATGGTTCAAGACCGATTATTACGCTAACTGGATTATAACTATGCGGTGTATGGTCAATATTTAAGCGGTATCCAAAGCTTTAGATTTATTTACATCATACTTAACGATTAATCACTTACAGTAAAAATAAACGTTTTAAAAAATTTTACATTTTACAAGTTTTTGTATCTTAATATATTTATTTTACAATGTTCGTAGGAATAAATTGATTTATACATAATAATAATCAATTAACCATCATATATAATCTTACATACTTTAATAAATAAATTATAAACGAGCTGATACTGGGAATGGTAGTGACCAGTGGTGTAGATGAGAAGTTGGAAAAGTAGGATACATAAGGTAATTTAGTATGTATCTGTAAGCAACGAAAAATCATTACATGATGAAAGACTATTCTGAGTACAGTTCGGTAATACATAATTTGGAGTGCAACAATTTTTTTTTTTTGCGATTTTCGTTTAAATTTGATTTCAAAACTCTCATTAAAAAAAAAAATCGTCCGATGGTTTTGGAAATTTACTACGTATAGTTAAGTTCATTTTAAGTATAATTAAAAGTATCAAATCTCTATACGTGTATTTATAACCGAATTGCAGCAAAACAGCAAAAGTGGTAAAAATGTTTGGTGATGATACCGTAAGAAAGTAAATCAAAAAGGCAACAAAAGGTGTCTTGTGATTTTTCGATTAAATCATTTTTTCTGGTAGAAAACGTCGTTCGTGTTTTTTTAAAATAATGAAATCGTGAGTTGTACGTTTTCCTACGCTTTTTCCCACTTAAGTGTTTTTATTTAAAAAATTGCGTCGAAAAATTACCTCTTTAAAGTACCATCTAATCAAATTTCAGAAAAGTTGTTCCACGTAAAAATCGAAGCAATTTTACTAGGAAAAAACGTGTTCAAAGACTAGAAAAAAAAAAATTAACATCTTAGTAAAAGCAATAGCTGCCTCACTACGCTCGGAATTTAATACACACATGCAGTGGCGGCTCGTACTATGGGGCACACGGGCACGTGTCCTACCTACAAAATTGAAAGAAAGAAGGAAAATTATATTAAATTAAAATTGAGTTGGTGTTTCCATCATAATAATATAGTTGGCATATTATTTAAAAATATTATAGAAAAAAAAAAAATGTAATCAAAATAAATACGGATGCTCCTGCGTACAATACGTACGATACTATATTATACGGGCGGCCGACGGCGGGCACAAATTCGTTGTGCCCGCCGCCGCCGATGAACGGTATTAGATTTCCCCCACTTTTCGACAAGAATTAATACGGCGTTGCCGGTAGTCTAAACCTTCTCATCCTAATTAATAATTTTTACCAACACCTTATCGGAATAAAAAAACGAAAAAAATAATTTGTTAATTTTGTATACGTACCTATTTAAAAACTGTAGAGCTTTCTTCGGTTAATTTAAAATTTCAAGCGCTTATGTTTATATTTTGAGCGTATTATTTTCAAATTTCATATTATTAATAGAACAGCTGAAGGGTAGTTACCTACTAGGTAACCTGAATTATTTCCGTTATTCGAAAGAATACATTTTCTTTTATATAATAATTTATATTTGAAACGCTGTGGCGTCGTGAACTTCACGAGTGTGCTTCGCGAAATTTGACCCATCATTGTATAAGCTTTCCCTATTATACTTATGTAATATAATACATTATACAATTTACAATATATTATAATATACACCCAAGTCCCGTATATTATTATTATGTTGTTATTATTAAATGAGTTGTCTATTTCCATCATTTAAATTATCTTAATTAATTATTTAACGTCCACCGGGCTGACGAAACCATCCACAGACCAATTTAAAAAAAAAAAAACCCATGAGTCTTCAGAATAGCAGAAATACGCTCGTACGACCACTACTTTGTATCCACTCGGTGCAAACATTTCATTCGTTTTTCATCGGCGTAATCTTGATTTTAGTTAACTTGTCTTATAATGGAAAAAAATGTAACTACTGCAACGAATTAACAAATATTTGCATGCAAAATATTTTGACATTTAGACATTAAGTGAATGTTTTTTTTTTTTTTATTTTGTAACATTTAATGCAAAAATCAACGAGTGAAAATCATCAAACAATACTGCTAGTGACTTGCCGTATATTTTTTTCAAAAATTGACTTATGATTTAACAATATCACTATTCGTTAATCTTTGATATTTTTTATGAGGTTTCCAAATCGTTATTTTAATATCACCAGTATACTTTTAAATCAGACTGCATGTACGAGTATTAACCATTATTAATATTCTAGTTTAAGCTCGCGAATGATTGAATAAATAAATATATGTTTTTAATGTATACAATGATTGATTTATTATATTTTTGGACATCATGGTACTTTCAAAATAATATTACCTAACATTGTTTAAATTATTTAGGTATATCTTACTTACTAGTTTCCATTGGCGGTCATCGTAATTTATATTTAATTTTAAAAAAGTTAATAGGTACTGCTGACTGGTGCGTGGCACTGTTCTAGGTAAGAAGTCGAAAAGACATGATGCATTATAGTAATTTAATTTATCTCTGCATACAACGATAAATCATTTCTAATGAAAAACGATTATAATTTCTTAGAGTAATCGGTTAAACATGTTTAGAAATGCCGTGATTTTAACAATTTTCATTAAAATTTGAACATACTCGACTAAAGTTCAAATTCAATTAAAATTCAATATGTACATCTTTAATCCATCTTTAATTCGTACGTAAAATATGTTCAATAAATATGTCTCAAGGAAATTAAAACACGTCATTTGAAATAACAGTAATGAGTGTGTTCTGAAAGCCTGAAGGAAATGTTTGTTTTCGTTTTAATTTTAACAATTGAAATAGTTAAGGTATTCCAAGAGATGTCAAGAAAATACTACGTACTTCAAATACTATTATAAATTTATATTTTAATTATATGCTAAGATTAAGGAGTAAAATAAGGCAACCCATTCACACTCTCGGAGGTCACTGATTAGAAATATTATTGTTCACCGGTTATTGTATACCAGTATCTCATATTGTCGTTTATAGAATTTGCTACAAGTAACCAACTCCAGTTTTCATTAATTAGGCAACCAAATTAACTCTGATTATCTAAGAACATTTTGTTTAATATTCTGAATGCAATCTATAATTTTTGAAGAAAACCAAAATTAAATTTACTCAAAAATTGTATAGATTTAAAGCTGGTATGTTTTCTTTGTCATCTTGTATTCAGTTAATTTTTACACTTACCATACGTGTCTTATGTCAACGTTCTGTTTTTGTAATATTGTCTTCTACAAATAATATGATACATTAAATTAAGGTGACCATATTTAAAATAATAAATAACAGTACAAAATAATTTTAATAATATATTCAAAGTAATATTTGTTAATCGTTATAGTTATTTTTTTTTTTTGTGAATTTTTCATAATTCTGACTTTTATTAACTATTTTAATTACACCCGCATATCTTAGATGTATTATCACCGGTATTGTTTTTTGCGTTTATTATTTATTAATAAAATCGCAATCACTGCAATAATCCATATAAATATTTTTGTCAACAAATTTATTTTATTTAAAAAAATAAAATACAATTTTAATCTGTATGTGAAAAATATAAAATATTTATATCTAATTAAATAAAATAAAATGTATACAAAATAATTGGCATAGACATAAAAAAAAAAAAAAAAACAAGACAAAAAGCGTCCTAAAAGAAGACGCAAAGCTGAAAAAAAGTATAATCCTGCATAAAGAGGACCTTGTGGTATGGTATTAGTATGGTCACCTTACGTTAAATATAAATTTGTATTATTTTCTTCATTTCGTAATATTTATCGCTGGATTCTGTCAAATGTATTGCCGTTTTGTTCATAGACTTCTAATTATAAATAGAGTATTAATTTAAATATATTTTTGGTTTCGGTCAATCTATTAACGTGATATTTCACAATTAATTTTGGATTGGGTGACAGGCAGACAGTAGTGGAGCAATATACAAACGCTGCGCGCCGTACCGTGGTAAAGTAATGATAGAATAAGTACCTAGTCTATTGACTATTACACATTTCAATATCACTATCAATGATATTATTATTTGTCATTATAATTTTTAATATTAATAATTCCACAAGAGTAAATTATTGCTAAACATAGTTCGTTACAATTTAATTAATCATGCTATCTAACAATCATGTCAGGTGCTTTGAGTTTCAAATATCCACACAAAACTATGTATCCATTAGATTAATAATTTATATAGAGGAGCCGAACCACTCCAATAATTGTAAAAATGAGATTTATACATTATTGTATAATATATTGAGTACAGGTATAAAATATATAAACATTACATATTGTATAACAGTTTAATTTTCCATTTAAGAACTCACCTACTCCAAGCACAAGCCTCGCTTTTTATAAAAGTTTTTATCATATTTAATTATTTTGTATTATACACATTTTTTTTTTTTTTTTTTTGGTTAAATGATAATGAAATACAATATTATTATTAATACTTCGTACTTCCAATTCTTGTCGTCGTGGCTCTCGTACAATGAACAACAGAACAAGGGTTAAACAAAATATTATTATTGTTATTCGATAATATTTCATTTACCTAAACGCGTTGAGTTTTTTTATGTCTTTAATAATATTCTGCTATATTATAGTTCTTTCTATTATATTATTATATCATATTGAATTTAGTCGGACAGTATAGCAAATTAATTAATGTTGAATGGTTATATTTTATTTTCGACTCATAAATTATGCATAATAACCCGAGGACTCAAGTAGTGTGTTTATAAAGTGTTCCTTTTCTTACTTGATTTTCAAACGGTTATGTATAATGATCACCATAAAAACAAAATAAATAATAATTTATTCAATCGTCATAATAATATTATCTTTTATATTAATTATTTACTTTATAATGAGAATGTGCACAAAAAATTGTGAAACCTTCTTGATCAATACAATTAATTCAAACGTTATCATAAATAAGTGACTACCAAATAATTATTTTATATGCAATAAATTAAAAATTAATATTTTTTTATAAAATGTTGTTTATTTTTTTTTTTGATTCTGAACAAAGAAAGGAAAGTATTTTACTATTATTCATTATTTTTTTAATCTATTAAAAAAAACTTTTCTATTAGAAATATTGATCCAACGTTCAAATATAAAACATTTTTTTTGAAAAAACATATATCTAATTAACGTATTAAGGAAGACATTTTTTGATTTTCCATTCAGCTCTCTTAATAATTGAAAAAAACTTATGAAAAACCCGAATGAAATATTTAACGACAAAGAAACGTATAATAATACAGGTAATTTTGGTTTTGATATTGTATTAAAAGTTATTTTAATTCATAGCAATTTTCGTATTATAGTGCAATGAAATATCTACGTGTTAAAACACTTAATTACTTTGATTAATGTTAATTAATTTTATCTTTAAATAGCTTCATAATATTCAATATTAAGTCTTCTGAAGAACACTTCAAAAAAAAAAAATAAACATTAAATGTGTTTTAAAAATATATGTGTATTTTTAAAAAAAATTAATTAATTTTTGTGTGTAAAATTATTTATATTATATCGAGTATTTAATTAAACCTTCAGATTGCGTCATAATAACATTAACTAATTTTTAATGTTGTCAAAATAAAAAATTATTTATTATAAAAATCATACAAATAGTGAAATGAACAATAAACATCATCAATTCACCATTCATTACATAATTTTAATACATTTTAATGTATATTATATTATTATATTTTTGATTTTCATACAAATTAAATAATTAATGAGAATAATTAGTAATTTTGATGCTTGATAAAATTTAAAATTACCTACTATAAATTGAACCGATAATAAGTTATATCTATGCCCCATAAATTAATCAACTCAAATATGGCCACTAACTTTACTACGTCTTGGTGACCGCCCTGTTCACCAACCCCTAGTTATAAAACTGGACGCAGGTTCTAACCGATTCTAACTTAACTGGTCATAGATGTTTTGACGACTACCTCCATCGGATTGGAAAGCTACATTGTCTGGTCCCGAGTGCGTGTACTGCCAGGGTACTAAAGATACTACCATGTACATAAGCACTTATTGGACATAGTCAATGGCCAATGATAGGTTCACAAACTTATCAATACTACATATCGTAAGAGATTTGTCCCACGCGATATATCCAGATAATTCATAAATTAATTAATTTTTGTTATTAAACATTAATATCGTGAAATTCAACACCATTCAATTATCATTATGATTATACTGGGCGAATATAACATATTATAGATACCTATCTATTTTATCTATACGTAAATAATATACTGAGTAAGAGTGTAAATTTCAAAGTACAGAGGGTGTCATATATCTCACATCACGTGCATATGGTACGAATTATAATAGGTATTAGGTGTACCTGTACAATATACATTACACATAATATTGAATTTATTTCCAAAATGCAATAATACAAATCTGTATTAACAATTACACCAACGGTTGTAGATGTAACCGATGATGATGGTACATCGAGGGTTGCGTTCCATTTGATTAAAGCCTCATATATATTGTTATACTCGTATATATTATTATATAGCTAAATTTCCTAAAACTCTGAAGTCGTCAATAGTTAAAAAACAAAAACGTTTGCTTTAATATTGATTGTTTTTTTTTTAAATAAACATATACAATTAATTTTAAAAATTATAGTCTATCTAATATCAATGATGATGTTAGATAAGGCAGCATCCAATCATCATATCATTTTATTTTGTTGTATGGGGAAAATGTTATTGCTACTTTAATATCTAAAATATTGACAATATACAAATATACAAGGCGATTATAATTCTCCGCGAAAATGTTATATAAGTTTACTGTGTGTATATTTTTTTAATAATTATAAAATATCACGAACATTGTATAATTATTTATACTAGTTTCAAAATATTACTCTTACTTCTTATGTATAGCTTAAATAAATGTCAAATTTGACGTATTTCACGTATTTTATCTCCGATTTGAAGAAATTATTATCCTCGAATTATTGCATACCCTTCGCCCTTCAAATAGTTAGGTTGAAGGCGAAGTGGAAAAATAAGAAGAAATTTGTATTCAAAACAAGAGTATCATATTGATTATATTTTAACTAAAATATTTTATTCTTCAGAGCGATTATAATGTTGTACTTAGAATATTCTTATTCAAATTACTAAACTTAATTGAACATTTTGTACAATTTGTACATTTCTCTTCGAGTGACAACAAACACAGTTACAATTGTTTCCGTCAATTTGTATTAAGCTTGATAATTTATTAAGATTATCAATCTCATTGGATTATTTATGACGTCAAAATTAGTTACTTAGTTAAATGTTGAATTTTTGGTTCGGTTACTCATTGATGATTTTCGAAATTTAGAAACTAGTCGTAAATAAAACACAACTAATAATAATACTTCAGAAACAATTTTTGTTCATATTTATTTATTTTATATAATATATAATAATAAACTTATATTTTTATTTTACAAGGGATTCGTTGTTTTTTTTTTTTTCATAACTTAACTTGGATACACGAACACATTAAACAACTATAAAAATAACAAATATAAAAATTAAATCCACAAAAAGTGACCAAAATGCATCTATCATTCAACTATTGGATAATAAAAACAAGTAATAACCAACCACTAGTGTTCATCGGAATAAGATTTCTAGTGGAAAAAATAAAAAAAAATAGATAAATAGATGAAATAATATTAAGAATCGAATACCAAAAAAAAAATCGAAAATTCGTCGATAAAAAAACCGGCTATACAATGTTTATAGTGTTATTTTTAATACAATTTTAAAACAATTTCTTTCATTACAAACTTAATAAGTGTGTATGAGTAAAAACCAACAATTTTTCGATCCAGATACGAAATTTGTATCTACCATCGTCACATATAAATTTACTATAAAACACACTTCAAACGCATCAAAAACTCAACAACCTAACAAATCTAATCTTACATTATAGTAGATAATTATTAAAATGGAAAATAATTTCATAAAAAAAAAAAAACTAATGTTATCTGGATAATAATTATTCAAAGTTATCAAATTATGCACATTTGCAACATTGAAATCGTATATCATAAAACCATATACCATATATTATATCTTGTAACCGTCCTATTCTCATCGTTTAAATTTATATTATTACATTTAAGATTTGGAGCGTAACGAAGGATCTATTGGTTTTACTATAATTTTTGTATTTGTGTTTTTTTAGATTTAGAGCATATTCGTTTTACTATGATAACTTAAGAATATAAATTAAACAACTTTAACTATCCTACCTTCCCGAGTTCCCACCTACAACAGTGGTGTATCTTTTTCCCCAGAATCAACTCTATTTTTATACTTACATTTACATTTACTTTTAATAAGGTGCATATTCATACTTTTTATAATATATTTGTATACTCTTTTAAAACTAAGAATTTTACACAAAATAAACGATAAAATAATAACAATCAATTATCAAAAGTGAATTCAAAGTACAGAAATTATGATAGAGCTTTTAGTGATTATAGGATTGTTATGTAGAAATTCCGAGAATAAACCGTTATTAAATGATGCCAGGCCAGTATATTTTTTACGATAAACATTATTGAGTCTATAAATATATGTATTTTGTAATATCGCGATGCAGTAATAAAACGGAGATAATACCGTTGTCATACCCGCATGACCTCTTCAACGGAAAAATGTTTGTACTAGAGTGGTATAGAACAAATATCGACGATCGAAATGTATACAATATTATATTCTATTCGCCTACTATTTAAAGATTTAAAAAATAATTCATTATGCGTAAACCGATTATTATTTTTTCTCTCAGATTAATTCTCAGCTTCCTGTTCCATTCCTGTCCTCCAGAGGCT